TCCCAGCATGAGGAAGGTTGAGAAGCACTGGTCTAGAGGAGAGTGCAGCTGTGGTAAATAGCCTAGTCAGATAAGAGCCTCCATTAGAGACCTATTAACTTACCTTAGTTCCTTTTTACCCGCATGGATCATACCCAGCTTTCAACAAGAAATTACAAGGCACGTTGAAAGGCAGCACAGCTCGAAGAAAATTGTGCTGGCAAAGAATATCGAAGGTACCACGGACTGCTCAAAGGACTTCTTCCAAGACAGACTTGTTCTTTCGGCGTCCATGGCACTGTCAGCATCCTGCCCCAGCACCACAACTCAAATGCACCAGTTCTTCTTCAGTCTTCCGCACTCAGTGTCCAACTTTCACACGCTTCTGGCGACTGAAAATGCCACGGTTTGGGCCAGCCACCTCATAGTCTTCAAAGTGACATTCGAGTCTTTCAACACACTGAGGAGGTCTTGTGCAGCAGACTCAGTGCAACAGGTCATTGCTCAGAGGGAAGCTTCTAGAAAGAAAACAGGAACAAGCTCAAAGGTTCTAGAAGACAGAAAACACTTTTTAAAAAAGCAGAAACAAGTAGAGAATGGAAAACAATAGGATCCGTGATAGCAGAATTTGGTCCTTTTTGAGAAGACATTGTCACCTCATTGGTTGCACTAGCAAAGAAAGTAAATGCAAAAACAAATGAGACAGTCCATTTGATTTTGCATTGTATTATATTCCAAGAGAAACAGGATTGTAAAGGAGTACTATCAACAATTTTATGTTAACAAATCGAGTAATTTAGAAGAATTGGACAAATTCCTTGAAACTAAAAGCAGTCTTCCAAGAAGAAATAATCTTTTAAACTAATATTTGTTTTTTTTAATTATGAAAATTTTTTCCTATACATTCTGTTTTTCTTTTATCTCTTTCCTCCTCCTTGATTTTTCTTTCTCTTGGTTTTTCTCTTTCATTTTTATGATGACTTTTGTTGTTTTGGACTTGGTGAAGAAGAAATCATCTTAACAGGCCCTGAGTTAGTAATCAACAACTTCCCCCAGAAGAGAAGTGCTGG